TCGCCATCATCGGAAGTGATATCCTTTATCCCCTATAGTCCTTCGCTTGGTATCATGATAACCATCATTCCTGGTAAGTTTTCAGGTACTTGACGTGCTTTTTTCCACCTGCCTTCCTGGAATTTAAAATTCTCGAACCTCTTTATTTTGTCCTAACTTTCGTCTTTCGTTGATATTGAGTCTATTATGACTCTCTTGTCATTCCTTTCATTTCCACACACAAGTTCGTCAGAAATTTGCTTTGTCAAACGTTTAACCATTATGACCTTATGTAGTTTTGTGCAGATCGATATTTATTACTCTTAGCGGCGCACCCGATTACTTTGTGTGTAACAAGTTGACAGCACAATCCGCCTCGCCTTTTGCCTCTTCTTTCTACTAGGCTACGGTACAGTCGACGAACCATTTGGCGCGACAATTAAGCGCGGTCTAAGACGACTCGTAGGCCTGAGGGTTGGATCGAGCTATCGACTAAGTCTCACTCGTAAGAACTCTACTTATCTACAGCGTCGACTGGCGCATCATTCATTAGAATGCACTACTATGGACAACCTTGCCTCTCACACCGTCTTGCCAACTCATCAGCACACAGTGCTGAGATAATGGCGACATACCGCCTGACTGCCGTCATAACCGCACCTCTGCTTGGGAGGGAGGGGTCGTTCACCATGGGATCGGCGGGTGCAAAAGCAGTGGCCTTGATGGAACATAAAATTCTAATGACTAACATTTCGGCGGGATCTTATTTCGTAGCCGTACCTGCAGAAGACAAGCCCCAGCCTAACCCCTAACGCCATACCCCTAACCCCAACCCCTATTTTTAACCCCTAATCCCTGCCCCCTATACCCCAACCCTAACCTTAGCCCCTAACACCTAACAGTTATCCCCTAACCGTAGCCCCTACTCACTGCCCCCTAGCTCCTAACCCTAAGTCCAACCCCTAACACCTGACGTCAACCATTAACGTTAACCTCTAACTCCTGTCCCCTAACCCTAACCTCTAATAGGTGCGCCTATGAGGGCAGTCAGGCGGTATACTGCCATTATCTCACCACTGTGTGCTGATGAGTTGGCAAGACGGTGTGAGAGGCAAGGTTGTCCATAGTAGTGCATTCTAGTAAAAGATGCTCCAGTCGACGCTGCCGATAAGTAGAGTTCTTACGAGTGAGACTTAGTCGATAGCCCGATCCAACCCTCAGGCATACGAGTCGTCTTAGACCGCGCCTAATTGTCGCGTCAAATGGTTCGTCGATTGTACCGTAGCCTAGTAGAAAGAAGAGGCAAAGGGCGAGGCGGATTGTGCTGTCAACTTGTTACACACAAAGTAATCGGGTGTGCCGCTTAGAGTAATAAATATCGATCTGCATAAAACTACATAAGGCCATAATGGTTAAATGTGCGAGAAGGCAAAATTCTGACGACCTTGTGTGCGGAAATGAAAGGAATGACAAGAGAGTCATAATAGACTCAATATCAACGAAAGACGAATGTTAGAACAGAATAAGAAGGTATGAAAATTTTAAATTCCAGGAAGGCAGATCGAAAAACACTCCAAGTACCTGCAAACTAACTAGGAATGATGGTTACTATGGTACCACGCCGAGGACCATCAGGGATAAAGGATATCACTTCCGATGATAGCGAATTTGTGTGACATCTCCGCATATTTCGTTTTGAGTTTTGACCTGAACCTCCGTGCTCTAACTGCGTTGATTATATGTGTCTTGATTCAGGCTTTGGTATCCGTGGCAACTTCAGTTAGGCAGACGAAAGACAAGAGTTTGAAGACAAGTGTGGGAAGGTTGTGAAGATCAAACTGCCAATGCGAATTCGTATCGCGTCGGGCAACTGAATTTGCAGGCGATAGAATGAAGCCTAAGCACTATCAACATCAAGCTAGTTCCCGGTAAGTCGGAGAATACTGTGGAAAACAGTTTTAGGGGCCTATTCGGTACAGGATCCCGAGCCGCCATCTCTAACAACAAAGACCCGTGGCTAGGTCGGGACATTTTTCTTCCACTATGTTTCTGCGTTTCGAAATTAAACGAGTCCTTTTTCAGTTTGAACAATCTGTATTTGGTAAATTTTCTGCGTTGGTTCCCCAGGTCGTCGTCGTAGTCGTCATATGTGTGCAGAGTGTGAAAAACAGTTAACATTATAGCGTTCCTAAAAATCGATATTTCTTCGTCAGTGCTGCTAATGGGTCGATACTGTGGGGTGACATACGTTTTGATTGGCTATGACCTTTTTCAAATTATTTTGGGATTTGTGGACGTTGCGTTTTGATTGATGCGCGAATCATGAGAAGGAAGTGCCCTAGAAATTCTCGGCCTTTCTTTTATGTACAGAAACTGACAATGTGCGTTTCATCTCAAACAAATTTGCGCCCCTTTTATAGATCATGCATGGCGACTTGGGATAAGTAGTTCCGTCTCTTTACTGCTAGTTGCTATTCATGTAGGCGTGCGGAGACGGATTTCCCGGTTTGAACATGATATACTCCGTTACAGGTGCCGCATTTAATCTTATAAACCACTTCCTTTTACCAAAATAGCCAACTCTATCCTTAGGATGTACCAGCTGATTGCATAGCGTAGTCGTCAGTTTGTGCGCCGCTTGTGTTTGGTGCTTCCCGCGGTGTCTTTCAATGAGCTCAGACAGATTTTTGATGTGAGAAAGTGTTCGCAATTTTTTTTGGCTTTGACACCTGATCGGAACAGTCTAGTTGCTTATCTTTTCCCTTTAATTCCTGTTGTCTCAAGCATCGGCGTACGAAATCTCTAAGGCAATTTTTGTAGGGAGATAGGTCGAATAAATAATTAAGTTCTATTTTGTGTTCTTCGTTCTCGTTATGTAAAATAACTTCCGCATAAGCTTCTTTGCTATACACTGATCTGTGTAATGTCCCGTCAGTGTTTCGCTGTACGATGGCACCAAGAAGTTCGAGTTTGCTGTTAAATTCTTTCTCAGGCGTGAAGGTGACTGTTTTGAGTTTTGAGTTGATAACGTTGTGCGGCGTTCCCAGTTGAGCTCTCTTGACAGTAACAAAGGTGTCCTTTGGGAAAATGAACAAACTTTATTTCGTAAATTTTCGAGTCTGGTTCCCCAGCTCGTCTTCAGACGTGTAGTAAGTGTGAAGAAACAGTCAAAATTTAAACATTCCCAAAAAATCAATATTGCCCTGTCATGGCTGAGGATGGGTTAATGCTGTGGGCTGATGTAACGTCTTGATTGGCTATCACCTTTTCCATTTTTCCTTGAGATTTATGTACATGGCGTCAAGATCGATGCGTCGACTGATGCCTGAATCATCAAAGTGAATGGCCTCTAGGAATTCCCCGCCTTTCTTATGCGGGCAGGAACCGACAATGCGCGTTTTATCCCAAGCGAATTAGTGCTCAGTTTCAAGAGTATGAATGGCGACTTGGGATAAGTGGTCCCACGTCTTCACTACCAATTGGTGTTCATGTAGGCGTGTAGAGGCGGAGTTTCCGGTTTGACCACAATACACTGCATTACAAGTGCCACATGGAATCTTATAGACTACTTCTTTTCTATCCAAATATCCAACCCTATCCTTAGGGTGTACAAGCTAAATGCGTAGCGTGGTAGTCGGTTTGTGAGCCACTTGTATTTAGTGCTTCCTCAGGTGTCTTTTAACGAGTTCAGACACATTTTTAATGTAGGGAAGCGTTCGCCAATGTTTTGGCTGTGGTGTCTGATTGGAACAATCTAGTTCCTTCTCTCTTTCTTTGGATTCCTGTTCTTTCATGCATCGACGTACAAAATCTCTAGGGTAGTCGTTTTGGGAAAAAAGGTTGAACAGATAATTGAGTTCTTTTTTGTACCCTTCGTTCTCAGAGCAATGTGTCTGCTCGATTAAGTAGGGTGTTAACAGCACTCCGTTTGTGAGCCATAGGGTGGTTGCTCTCGTATTGTATGATAACTTCCGCTTAAGTTTCTTTGCGGTATACTGATGTCTGGAATGTCCCGTCAGTTTTCCGCTGTACGAGGACATCAAGAAATGGGAGTTTGCTGTTAACCTCTCTTTCGAGCGTGGAGGTAATTCCCGGTAGTGTTGAGTTGATGGCGTTATGCAGCGTTTCTAGTTGATCGCTCTTGACGATGACAAAGGTGTCATCTACGTAGCATACCCACAATTTGGGCTTGAATAATGGTAAGGTAATAGCCTCTAATTTTTGCATTGTGACCTAAGCCAGAAAGCCAGAACTAGATGACCCCATAAGAGATCCTTTTAGCTGTCGGTAGTATTTATGTGCGAACGAAAAGTCTGTTTCCAGACATAAGACCAACAGTTCAAGCGAAGCAGATGCAGGAACATCGATGTCGTAGGAATGTAGGAGTTTTTGTGCCCTGCCTTGCTAAATCGGATGGTATAGAGGCACAAAATACCCCCTTTATATGCGTTATACGTTCGTAACATTTTTTAAGAAATATTAGCCTCAGCTGGCTGAAAAGTAGTTGTCTTGTTCGACAAGCCAGGATGTCGTAACCTACATATGAAACCAGCCACGTGCTATTTGCCGACGTTAAATCGACTTTTCAGATATGGATCGCCCGAGGACCAGAACGTTTAACTGAATCAGGCAAACTGACATGCAAACTCTGAATTTGAAATTGTTTTAAGGGAAATAAATACTTATCATAGTTTAAGCCGCAAAAAACCACACAACAATGGTGAAACTGATTGAAAATCCAGTTTTAAGAGGAAATGTTTTATTCTGTAAGCGCACATTCGGAATACTGGTGCTTTAACTTATAGTTGTCGGCGCCCCATATTTTCATGTTCAGGGGATTCTTTGGGAGATAAAGCACGATCTTTGATCTTGAAGTATAAATCGGCCATAGCCTGTCAAGTGATGCGAAAACGACAAGCAAATCAGAACACAGCGTCAAATGCGATTGAGAGGAATTTAATAAAATAAGCAATCTTTATACATATATACATACAGTAACCAACTGGCCTCAAGGCCGCAGGTTAGGCGAAAACTGAGCAGATGACGGCAACTAGGACGATTACCTGGAAGGGAAAAGAGGACGTTGCAAGTGATCACTGCGCTGAAGCTGATGAGTCATTTTAGTTCAAAACTGCCTCTTTAAACCTACGTGCAGTCATTTCTGGCATACAACAACAGCTGTCTATCTAGGTATTTTAAGAATTGTGCTATTATTAATTACGAGACCTTGGAATTGTCTGCATTTCCATTCGGAATCTCTTATAGGCACAGAATGCAGTCTTGTCGAGACAGACGATGTAATCTGCCTCTCTGTCATGAGGAAGGATACGGTTTCCTGCACATGATGAAAAGCAGCAAACAAGAGGCGAATGCTTTTATTTATTGCTGATATAAGCGAACAGGCCAGTTCCAGGTAGCAGTTCAGATGACGAAGATGCGATCACTGGAACAAGAAATTTATTGGCCTGACGTTTCGGATTCCGTCATCAGAGGCAATCGCAGATGACGAGGAGGAGGAGGATGGATCTCTGATTATGGATTCGAGTGAGAATCCGAAACGTCAGGCCAATAAATTTCTTGTTCCAGCGATCGCATCTTCGTCTCCTGAGCTTTTTTATTCCATTTCAATAAATGAGGGATTTTTATGTATTACAGCAATGAGGACCCTTATACTGTTGAGATGGATCACACACAACTTCGTAGACAATTTGGAACTAGATCGTCCGTTAAACTCCCGTGTCAAGTAAAGTACTATGAATGAATCATAAATGTCTATTAAGTCAGGTAATTTCCTTCAGATTTGCCTCAAAACACAGCAGGAATCCTACCGGAGGAATCAGAACGGAGACAGGCGCGATTGTCAGACGGGGTCGGATCAGGTCAACCTCAGAGATGATTTTGTCCCTACAACCCGATACGGGAGGCTTCATTGCGGCGGCAAAGTTGTAGGTGCATGAGTCTGTTACAACTTGATTGTTCACAGAGCAACACGGCTCCGGCATTCTACGACTGCCTGCAAAAAACGGGAAAAAATACGTACGTTGGATTAGGGAAGATTTACGCTACTTAAATTGATTTGGTCGTGACTTAAGTAGTACTAGGAGACGGTAAGGGGACAGGTCCTACCTGCAAAGTCCTTATAGCCGTTGAGTCCGCAGCAGTAGTTATGTCCTTCCTGTTGGTGAAGGAACAAGAACGAGGTAAAATAAACAGCCGAAAGTCAATTTTAAAATCTTAAAATAATCATTCAGTCTATGCGCCGTGCCACATAACAATTTATTGCCTCTCATTGGCTCAGCAGTTTGGGCTTTGATTAGACAGTTTCCTCTAATCGATTGCGCTTTTAACAATTCATTCTGATTCTTGACTCAGATGGAGGAATAACATTTCCCACGCAAAGGATGCGGTGCAGATTGTCAAAATTCATGAAATTCAGCATCCTGAGAGTCCTCTAGAGGGGAAAGTACAACGTAGGGCAATTCGCACTGACGGAGTTGTGTTGGTTCTCGAGTGCGCAAACTGAAGAGCCTATGAGGACTATCGAAAGAGAGTGGTCTTCAATGCTGGCTCTGAGTACAAGTACGAATATTCTGGAGGCACTTTGACTTCATCTGTCAAAATCCGCGACTGGACCACTTTTAAGTAGGAGCCCGACGAAGAAGCATGCTTTATTCGAATAGGGGGGGGGCGCATTAAGGATTGTGAGTGTCTGCTATACCAAAAACAGTAAACCATGGTCCGCGCAGTTTGGTGTGCGCTGGCAGTTCCCTGACACCTGATTACGTACTGGTAGATGTGCTTGCGCTTCCGCTGGGTATACAGGTGGTGGGCGTGGCCGCCAGTCATACTCCTTTTTCTAACCTCTTGTTGTGTTGTTATTGGCAAAAATCCTGGTCCAGTGTTTGTTGGGAACCAGGGAGTGTGGTGGCAGGCCTAGGTGCGGGTCCGGCCGTGCCAGCCACCTGCGCCCTCCCCCGCCTCCGGTCTTCCTGACTCTGTCTTGAAACTGGACCCGGGTGAGGGGGTGAGTGCGGTAGGTGTTGTGCAAGTCTAATCTCACTATAAGCTAATTCACCCACACTTTAGTATACTTGCTTCATCTTGCCGCGGAGCACACAGTGAGTAGCGTCAGCTGCAACGGTCGAACTGTCATTTGCATAGGAACACGTTCATCGCTGATCCTCATTTGCTTCTGTATTAAGGTCCCACACCTTAACAGGTCTGCGAGGACGGTCCAGATGGTCATGCGTGGGATGAAACGCCTACGACAATATATGATGTCGATGGCAACTTACAGTTGTCAATTGCTGGTGTAGATTGGTCTCGTGAGCATGCCTTTGACTATACTGACATTTGCTGACGTAGAATGAACAGCGTGGTTTTGCGAATAATGCGCCTGTTAGGCTTAGGAGCATAAACTAATTGAATTAAAAGACAGCCAATTTATCCGTCTGCGGTCCTTATGCAGTTTGCTGACCACCAATAAGCTCGAAATCGATCTCCTCAAACATGTTCCCAAAATTATTAACATATTCGCCATAAAACAAGATGAACCGCCTAGTGCACGTGCAGCAGTACTTTGTGCTTAAGAAGTGTAAAGGTTAATCCACTATAAACGGGGTGGCTGTTTCCATGTACGGCAGAATTACGGGCACATAAGATTTGAGGACGGTCAAACAAATATTTATAGTTTTACTCCTTATTGTTTTGCGTTCATTGCTCGGTCAACCGTACATTCCCTTGCTATGCACTCCCACATTTAGACCAAACTCACTGAACTCTGGTTAACCCGTTTTCCGAATTTCTCCTCTTTGGCGAGAAAACATTTTTTCTGCCTCGATATCCACTAATCTATGAAGCATGTTTAATGACATTTTGTGGGTTACATGACCTTCTGTAATTGAATATTTTCACGTGCCGGTCAAAAGGCCTGTATGCGTCTGCTATGCCAATATCAGCAATCCATGGCTCTTGTAGCCTGGTATGCGCTGGCAATTTCCTAACACTTGGTTCACTGTCGCCAGTTACGCTTGCGCTCCCACTGGGTATACAAGTTGTGGCATGGCTGTTCAGTCATCATCCTCGTACTTCTGTCCCACTGTTGGGGTGTAGTTTTTGACGAAAAATCCTGGTGGAGTGTGTGTTGTGGACCAGGGGGTGAGGCGGCACGCCTAGGCGCGGGTGCAGCCGCGCTAGCCATCTGGGCCCTCTCATGCCGACGGTCTTTTTACTTCTGTCTTGACACCGAGTACAGGTGGGGAAGAGAGGAGAGTGCGATAGATGCTGCGCAAGTCTCAATTCACTATAAACTAATTCACGCGTAAGGCACCGTGTCTGCTGTGCCCTACTGTGTAATACGCGGAGGACATCGTCGGAATCGACAGTCGAACTGTCATTTTTCTGTATCACAGAATAACTTTTATTTTACAGATTGCTTTCAAGTAGAAGTGATACAATGACTTTTTCCCCTACAGAGGCCCTTTAAGAAAGCAAGTGCACCACAGAAAAGAAGGGGACAATTAAGTAGACCACCGCGCTTACCCTCATCACGGTGTTCCAGATTTCGATAGCCAGAAGGTTTTTGCCATGCTGACCATCCTTGTGTACTGCCAGGTTTTCACTCATGTACGAAACAGCCTTAGCTGGCAACTGATGTAAGCAGAAAATAGGGCAAAGTTACAGCGACAGAGATCAAAACTTCGGAGAGTCCGGTGACTCCGCCGCGTTTTATCAGTAGTAAGGTCAGTTTTAAAGACATGACCGATCGGGCGTACTTACACAGGTAGGACTTCCGAATACGCAGGCAGTGACTATGACCAGTCCAATGACGAGGACTCCCAGAAGCACCGCGTACTTTAAGGAGAGAGAGAGAGAAAGACGGAGGGTCTGTTAGTACGCAAATGGGAGACCCATAGCTCACAGTCTTCAGACGCCTCTCAACGGCACAACTTACCAGTTTCAGAGGTTTCTCGTAACCGAAGCAGGAGACAATCACTCCACACAGGAAGAAGAGAGTGAGAAGAACACCCACGGCGAGGATTGCGGCTGCAATGGTATTTTGATTATTATTACTCCGCTTTCGGGGGGGGGGGCAGAGGGGAGGTAAACAGTGGGAACGCAGTCCTCTACTTACGGGCACTGACTACGAGGATGCCCATGGCCAATTCCTTGCTAATGTTTGGCGCAGTAGGCAGGAAGACCGAAATGAACTGGCGTAAGAAATGGGCGTCGGCTCCATATAGGGCGTTGTGTCCGAGAGCCAGAAGGAATGCAGCTTCCATCTGGTAAAAAAAACAGAAAGCTAGGGGTGAGCAGTGCATACAGCTATTTTCACGGGGATGGGGATTGAATAAAAGACACAGCCTGCCCACTGTATCCCCAGTGAACCTACCATCAGACAGATGTGTAGTAGGATAAGGACGACTCTCAAGTATTTATGCATGAAGGGTTTGGGGGGCATCGAAAGGAGGTCTTCAGTCAGGCGCAATTTCGTCGGGCTGGGTGTGTTGTCCATTAATATGGTCTTTCTGAGGAATACGAGGTAAGAGTGGAGAGGGCGGAGCTTGTTTCTACAATAAACGGCGATGAGATTTTAAAGACGTCCATGTGGAAGGGTAAAATGCCACTTTACAGGCTGGTCTCTCACATCTATTTAAAGCAAGCACAGATTCTTGAGAAACAAAACTAATGGGAAAACCGCGTTTTACAAACTATGCAAAAATTTCCTTTTTGTCCTTAAACAGGGCACTCGCTGCACCTCTTAGAGACGGCGTCTGTGTTTAGGCATAATGGGGGAGAAAAGGCAGGGTCTGCCGGTAGGAGCAATAATGTGGGTTTCCGATAGCATTTTTGGAGTAGGGGATGTGATAAATAGAAAAAGATGCTTTTACGCCTGGCCATGTTTGAGGGCATCACCCGAGGCAGCATCAGACAGGATTGATAGGCGCACGATGGTTTGCGGTATTTTTTTGAGTTGCTAAAGTCAGAAGATCGCCTTCCAGGTCAAAAGGTCTGAAATCGTGTGCAATGCCAGTATCAGTAAACCATGTCCCTCGCAGCATGGAATTCCCTAGTATTTCTTCTGCACCTGGTTCCCTGTCGGTAGATGCGCTTGCGCTCCTGCAGGGTATGCAGGTGGTGGGCATGGCTGCCCAGTCATCATCGTCCTTCTGACCCCTTAATTGGAGTGTTGTTATTGTTGTCGATGCTGTTGTTGTTGGTCGAAAAACCTGCTCATTTGCCGTGTGGACCAGGAGGCTTGAAATGGAGCGCCAAATTGCGTGCTCGACCATACCATCCACCTGCGTCCCCCCGCCTCCGGTATTCTTGACGCTGTCTGGACACCGGGTGCAGGTGGGGGGTGGGGATGACAGAGTGCGGTAGATGCCGTGCAAGTCCACTACGCCTATAAACTACTTCACGCGCAAGACATCGTGTCTGCTGTTCCTTGCAGTGTAGCACACGGTGGGCATCGTCGAAATCGGCAATCGAACTGTCACGTCACAGCAGACCGATTGTTGTCCGAATTTGATTTATCGACTGTTGTAATTGCCCCACCAGTGTTCTTTGTTGGCGCGACAGGTGCTCGGCAGTTTTTTTACAGCGACACCGTTACCGAAAGCGATGCCACTATGCGCTCCCCCCGATTGGTTGATAACTCTTCCCAGACAAAGTCTGAGCTCTGCATATACAGGGGGGAGGTCAGTGGACCTGCTTGCTTCGAGAAGCCAATGGCTCGGCATGCACTCATTGCTGTGGTGACAGATAGCGTCAACTGGTGAGACATTGACGAATCGCGGCTCGATAAGCCGCTTACGGCACATCTGAAAAATCCCGTTTCTGAGCAGTCTGCTTGTGATCCGAGATCTTGGTGGTCGGTGTTATGCTTAACTGGATGAAGGCAGAATAAGTCCGAAACAGATCTACACCAAAATACCCGCCCTACACCTACGAGGATGGTTGAGAATTACGGAATTAACTAACAATCTGCGGTAAACAAGTCTTTACGAGAGCAGAGTACACTAACGCCAATGTTAAACAAGGGGCGAATCACTGCTCCGAAAAGTACTTAAGGTGCCTTTTGCTACATCAAAATTTTGACTTAAATACTAAACACTGCCTGGCGTGACACGAATTTTCAAAGAAGGAATTAAATGGTAGGTAGAATCAACAGTCGTATATAACAAGACCAGGCAAACTTTAAATCCAATGCTGATTTATACCAGTGTTTGTCGTTTAACCAATAAAACAATGAGAATAGAATCGCAATATCAGGTAAACTAGGAAAACTAAGGTCTGGCGCACGAATTGAAGCATCTGCAGGACAGAGTGCTTACCGGAGGAGTTCTGAGGGGCGTGTAGTTCGTTACTGCATGCCAGAGTCCGCATGCATTTATATGAATCCGTGCGTTCTGGGTGTAGTTTTTTTAGAATTCCATACGGACCGCACACCCACACACACGGCAAGTACTGCCAGAAGGCCGGCCCTAAGAGCGCCGAGACCAGCGCGCGTGTGTGCGTAAGTACTTGTGTGTGTGTGCGAGTCTGGAAAACGGAGTGCAAATTACACTCAAAAAGGTTACTAATTTTCAGGCGTCATCCCTATTCGTGCTTGCGCAACGGTACCATCACGTGATACTTCGGGCGTCCCAGGCGGGAAAATGACCAGAAATAAACTCACTTACATAATTCCTGGTGGTTACTCTCCACCCGAAAGCAAGCTGGATTGCATGCACTTTTTAAAAATTACTACTGACACCGTAAACGCAGGGTCTACGAATTCTTTCTAGGTTTATCTGTCAGATGACGGTTCTTTTTGACAGTTAGGTCGGCGACAAATATCCTGCTTGACAGCGATCGGGGAGGATGTCAGGTGTCGCAATCGGATACGTATATCTTTAGTCAGCCAGGTTATACCAACCTGACTTTAACGGCTGCTCTCCAAAACTCCGCCTTTGGCCGGAATAGCATTTGTAGACTGAGGTGAAACGCGAAAGGAGGGTGAACCCGAATCATGGGGGGCTGGGAACACACAATGTTCCCAGCATACACGAACATAAGCGGTCTGTGCGACGAGGCAACGCATTATCACAATTGGCTGCTCACACCTACGAAATGGGTCATGACGTTAACGTCGCAGCCACCAAAATAGTCGCCCACGCAGGAACCAAAACAGGCCGAGAATTGATTGAAGTCTGGGCCTCCGATGAGAACTCAGTCAATCGATTTATCGATCTGGCGCTGGCATACAGAGCCCTGCGTAGTCACCTCCAGTCTTGCGCCGTCGGTCGATGATTGGCCTACGTGCCTCATAACTGTCGTTTGTTCTGCTGCTGCTGCTAACAGTGACGATGGACTCCTGCACGATTCTGAAAGATCAGGACAATCAACAAAATGTTCCGTTGCTCGACTCTTCTTCTTCTTCTTCTTCTTCTTCTTCTTCTTCTTCTTCTTCTTCTTCTTCTTCTTCTTCTTCTTCTTCTTCTTCTTCACTTACCCAATATCTTGCAAAAGCACCTTCTTAAGGCTTACAAAACTCAGCCATATTAGATTATGGAAGCTGAGCGCCATCATTCAACGTGAGTAGATCTTGCACACCAGAAACGTCTTAGGGGAAAGTGCAGGAGCTTAAAGTCCTGCCTCTAGGGACCCTGCGAGTAAACAGAACAGGCGAACTGCGCGGACTTTCGAGAAGCAAAAGCGTCGGACGTAAAATTTGGTTTGCACAGACGCACTTTCCTTCCCTGTGGATGAAGCAAGATGAAACGGCAGATAATATTAAAGAATACGAAGTTTGACGCGACTCAGGTACTGACACAGCTATCGCAGCTGAATCGTCGCTAAAAAAGCACAAACAAGTCTGACGAGTGAAGCCAGCCTGCCGAGAAAGGTAGAACTCATTGATAGTGCAGTAGACGGTTTAAATGACTGATCATTAACAGTTGCAAAGAATCTTCCAAAGAATTGTCCATGATAGAAATACATGTAATGATGGCCTGAGACTTAACAGAAGGGAGAACAGGACTGAAGTTATAAGGATCGAAACTTTGACCGTTGCATTCGACGCGATGCACTACTGTTCTTCAAGGTTGGCAAGCTTCTCCATGAGATTAACTCCACAGAATTCCTAAATTTCGATTTAAAATGAAATATCTTTTACACTGATTCTCTTGTTCTCAGCAAGGGCCTTGGAAGATCTATGGCAGAGACAGGCTCCTTTTGAGAAAATGTGTTGGTAAATTTCCCGCAGATTGCAGACTGGCGTTTGAGGACGTACGCAAACCACTCGACCTGGCGCTTAAAGATCTGCAATTTTTCCGTCATATCATCTGATTAGCAGCGCTACTCATGCAGCATGGTGAAGGAAAACTGTCGTAGTGATCACTAAATAGTTCCTCGTTCCAATAGAATCTACGCATCCCTTGATTTCATCTCACTTGGTAGTCAGTTGACTGTTTTGCATAGTCTCCGATGCAGTTGGCGACGACGTTTTTTGGGCTGTGCTGTTTAGCAACTCCTCGTTGAGTTGGCTTTCCTCAGTAACCTGTTGTTCTGATCCGACTCCTTTGTCGACAAACCGTTCGGGTGCTTGTGTACGACAAAGTAGATGACTTTGTTAGCATTGGTGAAAGTGACATTCCACGATTCCTACCAATCGGGCACACTGAATTCATCTTTCAGGATTTGCAGGGGATTTAAGTTTGAATTGACCAGTTCCAATGAGACGGTGCTCAGTCGCGATGGTGCCTTTCCCCTCGAGGCCGTATACATGACTGATTTAGCAACTTAAACCTCGAGATTGCAAGGTGATGACCGGACAAGTACTCGTTGACAAGTTTTGCATTTGTTACGAATGTGTTATAGGAATAAAGCCTTTTGTCCGCAGGCGTGTAGTTCGACAGTTTTTATTGAGGATATCAAGGGTACATCGATGTTGTTATCTCGCGATTGGAGAGTCAGTCTTCAAAAAAATCTACAATTTATCGATGCTGAGGCCTAAGCCATGACAAGAGAGCGATTCCTGATAAACGCAGTCAACACCAATCCGTGCCTTGAATTCACCGAGGATAGTCAAGTTGTCTGCCTTCGACACAGACAGGCGCAGGGCACGGAGACATCTGCAGAAATTCTACCTCATACCAATGCTGCTTGCATACATTCTGATAATGGCGACTAATTTCTTTCTGCGGAACAGAAGCCTTATTGAAGTGAGACAGTGATTGAATCGACGAGGAGTGTCAACTTTTGTCCAGGTTGTTTTCGGTGAAGAAGACGATTTCAG